TAGCAAGAAATTAGATTAATCAAATTATAAATCATGAAAATATAAATTTAATATAAAATTAAATCAATTTACAATATAGTAAAATCTAGAAATGGATAGAGATAAGTGTCATGGACTGATATTTGTAGAAGTCAAACTTGTTAAATTTGTAAATCTGCCATTGTTGTGCTCAGAATAAACAAAATGTTATTTATAAGATGACATTTCCTGATGAAATCCTTATCTTTTAAAATATGTTTTTCTTTATATTGTTAAGATTTTTGTTTGAAGATCTAACTTTTTATAATTGTATTTTTTTACTATTAATATACTTATTTCATCTTGAATTCTTCAATCTCTTTTATGACAAAATCTATTATAATTGAATTTAATACTCTTTTATATAACAAGTTATCACAAATTTATTTTTATTATTTTTCTGATATGTTATAGATTATAAGTTTAGAATCTATTAGATTCTTTTGAAATTTTAATTTAATATTTATAATATCAAAATATTAGTATGAATCTACCTATATTATTTTTATATTACATCAGTTTTTTTTTAATTATATTTTAATGTTATATTTTATTGACTATTTTATAATCATATTCTTTTATTTTTCTTTTATTAAAAATAATTATTTTTTTATTTTATTTCATATTTTTTAGTTTAAATCTTTTTTTTTTATTCCTTATACTATAATTCTATGATTTAATATTCATGTTAAAAATTATATGTTCAAACATTTTTTTGTTGAATTTAATATCAAATTTGTGGTTAACATATTATTTAAATAATAAATTTAAAAAGCTTATATATAAAATTTCGATCTAATGTTAACAAATTGTTCAGAAATTACTTGTTAATTAATTACATAATAAATAATGAAAGATTAATTATTTTATTATTAGATTAAAAACTTTCAATTAAATTACTTAATTGTATTAATAATAATAAAATTTATTCATCTCATATTATAAATGATCATCATAAACATTGTCTCTTATGTCTAACTTTTATAGTTTACATGATTTAACATGTTATATAAATATTTTCTAAGATATACATGATAAATTTTGAATTGTTTTCTACTAAACATTTAATTTAAAAATGAGATTAAATAATTCCGATACGATTATTGATATAAAAACTGTATGATTATTGTTTTATTGAATATTCTTTTTTTAAAAATTGCATATAATTTAATCTAATCGAATAACATTGAAATAAATTAAAAGTAACTTTAGATTTTGAACACATTTACAGTGAATTTCAAGTCATTTTTGTAAAAATAAAACAAATTAATAAAACTTGGCTTATTAACTTTGTTCAAGTAACAATCGCTTACTATCAGTATATAGATATTCTTCTATACTAAAAAATTAAAATTTCTTTTAAATTTACTTTATTTAATTAGATTAAATATGTCATGCACTTCTTCTTCAAAAATATAAACAAACATAAAACTAAATTATTGATTGTTAAACATATTCTTCATTAAAAATAGTAAATAATTGTTCTCACAGCATGTTTATTAATAATAAAATCAAAATTTAGTTATTAAATATTAGTAAAATCAATAAAAAAAGAATAGCATAGAATATAATAAAATACAAAATCTCTTTATTGACCACAATGGGGAAATTGAGGTGTTTACAGCAGCAAAAAGATTATAGAAAAAAGGTCAGACAAACATGGACCTTAGAAAAATGTATAAGAATAACATAATAGTGAAGAATAAAAAGTTAAACAATAAAATACTGTACTGTACAGTAATTTAACAATATAAAAAATTGTGCACCTGGACAAGAAATCACCAATATAAAGCTATGGACATTTTTACAGTAATGGATATTTAAAAATAACAGCAACATCAGAGATGTACAAAATGACAGCAGCATGTTATTTAACTGACTAAGGTAGAAACTGTGCAAAATCAGCATGAATGTAACAATTTATTGAGGTTGCTGGGAACAGTGGTGGTTATAGAGTCTTACAGCTGCAGGCAGGAAGGATCTGTGATAACGCTCCAAGGTGCATTTAGGGTGCAGCAGTCTGTCACTGAAGGAGCTCTCCAGTTCTGGAACAGCTTCATGCATGGGGTGGGAGACATTATCCAACAGAGATGTTATTCTAGTTAGGGTCCTTTTGTTTCCCACCTCCTGCACTGAGTCCAGAAGGCATCCAATCACAGAGCTGGCCTTCTGATCAGCTTATCAAGCCACTGTCTCTCAGCTACACATAAGCCACTGCTCCAACAGACAGCTCCATAGAAGATGACTGATGCCACCACAGAGTCATAGAAAGTCTTTAGGAGCGCCCCCTGCACTCTCAAAGACCTCATTCTCTTCAGCAGTAAGAGTCTGCTCTGACCTTTCTTATTGAGAGCCTCTGTGTTGTGAATCAAGTCCAGTTTGTTATTCAAATGAACATCTAGGTACTGATAAGAGTCCATGATCTCAATGTCCATTCCCTGAATGTTAGCCAGTGTCAGTGGGATGGATCTGCTTCTGTGAAAGTCCACCTCTAGTTCCTTGGTTTTCCTGCATTAATCAGAAGGTGGTTCTGCTGGTACCAGACCACGATATTCTAGTTCCTGTCTGTACTCCGAGTCGTCCCTACCTGTGATGAGGCCAACTATGGCAGAATCATTAGAAAACTTCTGGAGGCGGCAGCTTGTGGAATTGATTGAGAAGTTTGCAGTGTAAAGGTTGAAGAGGAACGGTGCCAGCACTGTTCCCTTTGGGACCCCTGTACTGCAAACCAACCTAACTGAGACACAGCTCTGTTCCCTCACATACAGTGGGGGCCTCACTTAAAGGCTGTAAATTTCCAACAATGTAATCTAATACAAGCTTGTCCACCTGTTGCTGGAAGACGAAGGAATCTTCACTTGGGTGGATGCACTCAACGTCGTTTCTCTATTGGTGAAGAGTTTCTTATGTTCCTCATTCGTGTTTGAGTGTTATATTCTAACTCTTTTAACCTAATGTTTGTTTTTAGGATGACTCTTAAAATCTGTCTAGCGACAGCAGATGAAGAATAGCTGTTGAGGCTACTTCTGGTACATTTACAGATATGTTTACTGATATAGATTCTCCCTGTCAAATAAACTAATAATTAAAAATGAACATATCAAAGATGTTTCAAGAATATCCTTATTTCATCTCCAAAATATTGCAGGATTTAGAAATATCTTGTACAGGGATTATGCAGAGAAACTAAAATAGTCCATGAATGTGTTACTTCACGGATGGACAAGTAATTCTTTACGATCAGGAAGTCCACAAACTAGTTAAAAGCCTTCAGCTGATCCAGAATGCTGCAGCCAGAGTTCTGGCTCTTTTGGTGCATCAGAAGTAAGACAGCAAATAAATGTTGACATTGCTAAGGTCTAAGATTGAGCAGTATACTACCTGGATGGAGAGAACGTCCTCTGAGCGAGCTGTCAAGTTTTTGTAAGAATAAGTGTTCTTTTTTTGAGTAACTTGTTAAAAAGAGTTTTGTTTGAAGATTTCATATACTTCTTTTATAATGAGATGTAGATTTAGTCATATTTACTTATGATATATAACCAAACAGTGCTTTTATTTCACTACTTCTATGGAATGATTGTTTCAGATTTTCTTATTTTACTTTGGAAGAAACCAAATCCTTCATCTCATTATATTATTGCAATGTGTTTAATATCTCTATTTAATACTCCTCAGATTTTCATAGAAAACAGAAGGATTTATCTTGCCAAAACTTCTGTTTCAGTTATCTAGTATTTCCTTGCAACAATTTCTTGTATATCCAGGGATTACATTAGGAGGTCATCAGACATTGCTACACATCAGGGCACTCTCCTCTTAGAACACATATGCTAATGCTTTGCAGATGATTTCACATAACCTATCATGACATACAAGATGTTTTTGGATAATGAGACATGATGGCCCTAACCCTGCCCTGGAGTTGTTGATTTTTACATGATGGTTATAACCAGTCAGATCTTTTTTATATTTAAATAATGTAGGACATTATTTACCAGTTGTATACATGATAGCTGAGTGTGTAATTAATTGGACTGAAGAGTTTTAAAGAAAATATCAGATCATCATTATACTTGTTATATTTTATGGTGGTCTAGCTTTCTTTAGAGTTACACAAGCATGGCTGAAATTATCTTAGCTGTTGGAGAAAGAATACAGTCTTGTCAAGTAAACAGATGGATTCAAGTACATGATAAAAAGACAAATTAAGCATAGCTTTATATAATCAGTGTAGTCTTACAGAACAGGAATGTCTAAAGGTGTATTTTCCTGATGTTTTTATTTATAAACCAATCCTTCTTTATCTTTAGGTCTGCTGTAAACCCATCTCAACACTATTTTGTTTCATTCAATTACCTGTAGTCTGGCTCCCTCTGGATTTGTAAATATCTCACTTTTGCTATGATTTAAATTATTCCAATTGGTCAATTATAATAAAAAGAAAAAAATGCACTTGACATTGTATCTGATTCAAAATTAGGGTTTCACATGTTAGTGGTTTGGAAAAAGCGTAGTAATAAAGTGCTATACATTTTTTTTTTTTTTTACCAACGGCTCTACTGATTATAAAGACTAAATACATGAAAGTTCTCATAATAAATTGGCACTTAAGCAAATCTACCTGATTGAACAGATAGTGTCTGGAAGCTGCCTAAAAATGCTCTTAAACAAAAGTGGACATGCATGCATGCAAACTTGTTTGGTTTTTGCATGTATCATGTCTCCGGTTTTTATCTACATCTTTGTTTAAATTATGATGGGACAAGAATGAATTAAAGCGCTGCTGAAGTTTTAATTACTTGTTAGGGAATTATAAAATTAGTTATATCATACTGTTACACCTAGAAGCTCTCAAGGTGTGGTTTGTGTATGAAAATACTAAATAGATATTGCAATTAGGTCTAATCCTTTAACCAACAGTTTCTCAATGCCTCTGATCCTGATACTGTATATAAGAGGAGTCCAACATTCAGCTGAACATCACCCCCACTTTGACAACCTGTGAGACTACAGTGAGTATATAAAGCTATGCTTAATTTGTCTTTTTATCATGGACTTGAACCCATCAGTTTACTTGACAAAGACTGTATTCTTTCTCCTACAGCTAAGATCATTACAGCCATGCTGAAGGTTGCACTTATTCTGGGATGCCTCCTGAGCCTCATTGTGGCTCAACCAGTAAGTATGACAATATTATAAGCTATTTAAAAAATGGAAAGAAGATTAAGATTGTAGATTTCCCTGATTACTTTGCATTGATGATTGCATTAACCTAAGTGTTTTATGCTTCATAGAGTGATGTCGGATTGATTTGTTGTTGTTCATTGACTGAAATATTTACACCTGATTTTCCTAATTTTGTCTTGGGCCATTTATAAATCTTCAATCTGCTTAAGAATCTGTGGACAGAGTAAACATTAGCTGAATATCATTAAATAAAAAAAGTAACAACACAGTAAGTACAACAGTAAGTACAACAGTAAGTATGACAATATTATAAGCTATTTTAAAAAATGGAAAGAAGACTAAGATTGTAGATTTCCCTGATTACTTTGCCTTTATGTTTTCATTAACCCCATTTTTATGTGTTCTATGTGGTGATGTCTGATTGATTTGTCGTTGTTCATTGATCTGATTGTACTGATTTTGGTTTGGATTATTTATAAAAAATAAATCTGCTCAAGAATCTGTGGACAGAGTAAACATTAGCTGAATATTATTAAAGAAAAAAAGTAACAACAATATATATTATTATAATATATATATTATAACATATATAATATGTTATAAAATAATATTGTATGTGTATAAAAAGAATAGAACTCAGTACATACAGTATACTAATCATGAAATAGCTGGAGGCCTGTTTGTGACTTGGTTACTTTCTTGTTTTCCATAGATGGAGCACCAGCGATTTGCCCGCTCTGACTCTGATTCAGGGTCAAACTCAAATGAGGTGAGAATCCATTCTGTTTTCTGATATAAATCCCAAATAATCAGTTAACTCTATATTTCCTGTCTTATTCTGATATATTTCTAACTTTATCTTTGATTTTCTTAAAGGGATCAGCAATTAACAATACCCTGCTAGCCCTCTTTGCTCAGCTTCTGGCTGCTCTCGCAACAACAACAACTGCAGCTACAACAACAGTAGCCACCACATAAACGGAAGCCTTGAACACTGGCTATTTGGTCATCTGTTGCTGAGAAACTATTTCTCATTCTTTCATTTGTTAAAAACATTGAGAGCTTTATGAAAATGTTGTTTATTAAAACAGGGATCAAACTTGCTGTTATCTGTTTTTTCTGCTTAATAAAGTTTAGAAATGCAAAAATAACCTTTTTTATTCGTCTAATGTTGTAAACATTCGCATTGAGATTTATTTAGCTGACAATAATTCAAGCACATTTACACCCATGCTGCACTTTTGCTTTATGTTTTTATTCATCTGCCATGGATTTCAGTGGTTAAGATCATAAGCTGATAAATATTCTTGGGAGCTTCTTCTGAATGTTTTAACATATCCTGTTGTCATGGAGCAAGACTGGAAGAGAAAACACAATCCAGATTTTCAATCTGACAACATCAATGAGTTGTTTAATACCAGAAGAAAAAAAAGAAAACATGCATCTTCTTATATTGCCGAATACGCATAATTGAAAATGATCTTTAACCTTCATAAATCAAACTAAATGAGGCAGACCATGGTTCTGAAAAAAAACAAGCCAAGCTAAAATATTCTCATACTGCCATTTTATGTCACGTTCTTTATTGGTTTATGTTAATGTTTGTATTTTAGCTACAAAATAATGCAACAGTGCCATATTTGTACTATAATTAGCAAAATAAAGTAAAGTAAAATCTTAACACTTTGCTTCTAGCACTGCACCACTGATGGTGACTAGAGGTTTAGGTTATGCCATGACTTGAGTTAGGGTATAATAAACTCTGGTTTGAGAAAAACACAGGTAAGTGACCATGATAATCTGATGGAGAATGATTATCCATGTGAGTCAATTACCTGGTTTTTCACTTAAGTCCATCTCTATTGAACGCGGTACTGTAGGCGGGCGCCACCCAGATTGTCCTCGATGCTGCAGTCTCAGAGAGCAAGCAGGAGTTCAAGCCAGATCAGGGAAACGGATCAGAACTAGAAGGCTCCAAGGTCCAGGAGTTCAAAGTCCAATCAGGGATACAGAACAGCAACAGGCTGGTTCAGGGTTCCAGGAGACCACAGCTCAGGTAGAACTTTCAGATGGGAAAAGGCAAGCACAGTGGTTGAGAGACAGAACAGGTCAGGAGATCAGGAACACTACGGTACACAAAAAACTTGCTCCCTTCACTGAGCCAAGACAGGAACAGTGGATAAGAGGCAGATCAGGAAATCAGGAACAGCACGAAAACACAATTTGCTTAACTAAGTACTGTTTGTTGTTGAATATAAGATATTTTGCAGATATATTTTTTATACTTACATTGTTTAGATTTTCTTATATGTTTCTACCCGTTTTATAGAATAGAATAGAATAGAATAGGCTAGATTAGAAAATCCCTTTATTGTCCTACAATGGGGAAATTCTGGTGTTTACTGCAGCAAAAAGATTATAGAAAAATGGTCACACAAATATACATATACATACATAGAAAAATGTATAAGAATAGCATAATAGTAAAGACTTAAATCATAAACAATAAAATACTGTACTGTAAAGTGTTTTAACAATATAAAAAGAAGTTCACCAGGTGAATAAAACACCAATATACAGCTACGGACAATTGTGCAGTAATGGATATGTGAAAACAGCAGCAACATCAGAGATATGCAAAATTACAGCAGCTTTTTATTTAAACGACTATGATTTATATCATTACATTTGCTTGTATTTGTTCATCCTCCACTCTGTATCCTCATGAGTGTAGTCTTTGTTCACTTTACAATAAAAATTTTAAAAGAAACTGTTTTGAAAAGTTTGATATTCATTCAATCATTCGTTCTTTTCCTGCTTTGTGTGTCAACTGTCACAATTGCTAAGCGACAGAGCATACAGTGGAGAAAGACCTGTATGGCTAGACCTGTTTGAATTAATTTATTTTCACGGACTTTGAAGGATCCAGTCCAATTAGACGGCATCTTTGGAAGCCCATAAGTCAATTTTGATAATGTCATCTAGTTAAACAATTACAAACTGTCCCACCATGTCCCTGATCATTTACAAGATGTTAAAAAAACAGCTGGAGCGTTAGTGAATCCATAGGGCATAATGAGGTACTCATAATGACCTGTAGGGGTGTTGAATGCTGTTTTCCACTCATCCCCCTCTCAAATGCGTACCAAATTGTACGCGTTGGGGAGATCCAGTCTAGTGAACACTTTAGCTCCCTGAATCTGGTCAAAAGCTTAATCAGGAGAAAACTGGTAATGATTCTTAACTGTTATTGCATTAAGTCCCCTGTAGATAATATAGGGTCTGGGTGAGGATTCCTTTTTCCCCACAGAAAAAAGACAAAACAGCACTTACTGGAGAGAAAGACAGGGGAACAATCCCAGCCTTAAGGGAGTCAGAGATGTACTTTCGCATGGCCTGAGCTTCATGGGCATATGAAGAGTATAACCTCATTCTAGGGGGTGTAGTACCAGGAAACAATTCAATACTGCAATCATACAGCCGATGAGGAGGCAGTGCAGTGGCCCTACACTTATTGAAAACCTCCTGGTCATGGTATTCCCCAGGATCTTAGACAGGTGCAGATATATCTCCTACCCCTCATTCTCAGTCCACTCCGTCGACCTCCTGAGCGAGAGGTTGCCCAACCTAAGACCTCAACATTTTTTAATCTGAAGGGTTAGGGTTTTTCACAGTGGTTGCCCCCCAGCACAAGCTCCGGTTTACAAATAGGTGATGAATGATTAATCTGGTGACTGTCTAAGGCAGGGGTCACCAACTCTGTGCCCGTGGGCACCAAGGTGCCCTCAAGGTCCACATGGGGTCCCTCAGAGTCTTCTAAATAAAGAACAACCCACCAGTGGGCTAAGTTTGAAATTTTATTTTATTCTGTTGTTATTCTTTTTAATCATTTATAGAGATTTCAAAATGACAATGTCTAAATAAACTTAGAAATTAACAGAAACAATAAAAATATGTTGATAATGAACAAAGTTTAGGCTAACGCTAACCCTTGCAGCTCATGGGTCAGTAATAGTCACCCTTCCTACGTCTCGGTACCCTTGAAGTGACCCTCAGCCTTAAAAAGGTTGGTGACCCCTGGTCTAAGGCTATAAAATTGTGGAGGCCGGGGAAGGGAGAAGTCTTATCTCCAGTTATCCAGCAAGCCCCCAATCCATGCATCCAGTATCGGTATTCTTCTGTTAAGGTTGGAAAACAGAAGTGAGACAGCAGATAAAATTTGACATTGCTAAGGTCTGAGTTTGAGCACTATACTACCTGGATGGAGAAAACGTCCTCTGAGCGAGCTGTCAGGTTTTTGTAAGAACTATAGTTATTCCTTTGAGTAACTTATTAACAAAACACTTACTAAAAGATTTTTTTTATTTTTTCTACTTTTATAATGGAATTTAGATTTAGCCACTTTTACTTTTGATATATAAGTGATATATATCAGCAATTTCATTTCATTAGATTTCATCAGAGTTTCTTATTTTAATTTGTAACAAATTACTACGTCCATCTGATTTTATTATATCAATATTTAATATCTCTCTTTAATACTCCTCAGATTCTCAACGACAACAGAAAGCTTTATCTTGCTACACCTTGTGTTTAAATGATGAAGTCTTTCCTTGTGCAGGTTTCTTGTAGATCCAGGGATTACTTTAGGATGTTATTATACATGGCTACATGTCAACAAACTTAGGAAACAATGGCTAATGCTTTGCAAATGATTTCACATAGCATGTTAGGAAATCTGAGACTTTTTAGGATAATGAGACACGATGGCTCTAAACCTGCCAAGAAGTTATGAAATTATTTGCTAGTTGTTTGCATGACAGCTGAGTGTTTATTTAATTGGACTGAAGAGTTTTAAAGAATATATGAGATCATTATTATACTTGTTATATTTTATGGTTGTTTAGCTTTTTTAGAGTTAGACCAGCTAGCATACATGGAGGGCTAAAGGTGTCTGTGGCTGATGCTGTTCTTTACAAGACCATTAGAATTGCTCGGCTGTTTTAAATCTTTAATATTACGAAGGAAAGCTTTTGCAGGGTGTTGCTATGGTGTAGAGATAAAAACACAAGACCTATATAGTGGCTGTCATGGGTTTGTATCCTAATCCTGCTTTGCCAATGTCTCTCCCATTTCTTATAAACAACTAATTTTCTTCCTTTCAATCCAGGTTGGAAAAAACTTTCCTAAAATGATCCGACACACAAATTAGTATTTTATTCATTTAAGAAACATATTATATACAGTATTTACCTGCCATCCATTTAAAATGTATGACAGTTTACAATTAAAGAAACATGTCAAGCTGAATAACTCAAAAATCCCAAAAAATTGAATTATTAAGTGATTCAATCCCATTCAGCTAACTTATGAAAATCATTTAGTTGAAAACATTTTGTACAGATATAAGAAAAATGTATGAAGTTGAAAAATAGCTTTGAGTTCATTTAAATCATAATCAGAGGGCTACGAAGTTAATTGCTTATAAAAATGTTTAAGGAAAGTCAAAATAAGTTGCACAACAATCAATGTAGCTAAATTTAATTTAGTTCCTAGTTGCCATTTCAACACAGATCCCAAAAACAACTCCAAATTCATCACTGGTTGCTCAGTGACGCGGTGGGTAGCACTACTGCTTTGCAGCAAGAAGATTCTGAGTTCGATTCCCGGCCCGGAGTCTTTCTGTATGGAGTTTGCTTGTTCTCCCTTAGCATGGTAGTAGACGGGTTGTGGTTAGCCTCGCTGCATATAGTTAGCCAAGCCTTGTTGCTAAATAATAAAATTACCCTGTCGATCAGCCGCACTTTATAACAGATGACTGTGATGACAGAGCTGTGCTGGGAGTTAGTGTGCAAATGAATTTGCTTTCAGCTCTGGGCGCAGGAGAGCTGCGCCTAGGATGGTCCTATCTTTTGCATTGAAGAGGAGAGTCTGGCAGTGTGTGAATGTCCGCTTGAATCCCTATATTGGGCCATTTTCACAATTTTAGATGAGTGTCCGAATGTCTTGTAAATGAAAAAGTAGTGAAATTTCCCACAATGCACCTTGAAGAGTAGTGATCATCCATG